ATGATCACGGTGATGATGATAATGTTGTTGTGATGATGGTGATGTAAACATATTCAATATTTATTTTACTCTTTCTTTTTTTGCTTAAATATTATAAATATTATATTACGTGTTCATTTATTGGTGTTACCAGATTATAAATAATTAGTTAAAATATTTGCACTTATGGCAACATAATGTTTATATTCGATTTCGTTCGTTATGATTCATAAGCGATTTCATGCCGTCTTCGACCAGGACTTTGCTGGCAAAAACAATATTAAATCAAATTTTTATATATGGTTGCGAAGTGTTGGGTAAATTGGAGTCTTTTAACACTATAGGAAAATTTCAGTGGGATTTAATTCAGTTATTAGGTATGTCTATAATTCTGTGAGGCAGAAATCACGTCCCGTCTTATATTTTACAATGTCTCAAATGTGGTATTTTGATTTGTCTTGATTTCTGATTGTCTGTTCTCTTTTTTTGGTAAAGATAATGGAAATTCACTGCCCAAGTTACTTATACAACAACTTAAGATATTTTAGATGAAGAAAAATTACATGTCTTGTTCTGTCCAGAAATAACTGTCCATTTACAAGTCGCTAATTTTTCACCCATTCAGTAAAACCCTTTAAATTCTTGTCGCCTCCAATTCGTAATTCATTGGATTTCACCTCTAAAATGTCTATTCTATAGCTTTCTTATATTATCTTCAGTTATCATAATGTTTTCGGTGTCTTTATTTTGTTTATTTCTCTATTGGTCTAACTGAGTGATTGTGATTAATGTTATTGTGGAAGGTTTTAACCTGTATACATTAAATTGACTTCTTACAAATGAATGCAAAACTATTTTAAATATTTTTAATATTAATAATTAAGTAAATGAGTATTAAATGTGTTCAAAGAGAATGACAAAAAGTGTAAACAAAAAGTTGGATGCTAGCGTAGCAATTAAGATAATAACCATATGATTTAACTTTGGTACTCATACTAAATGAGAACAAAATAGGATAGCAACATTTGTTTATGAACATTAATATAGCGCAGTTTTCACTGCATATCGCAATATACTGCATTTATGAAAAGATTTATTATTTGTACGTGTTGCTTTGGATTTATCTGGTAACACTACCATACATTTTTGTTTTTTTTTGTAAATATGAGCATAGGAAAAAAAATCGATTTACTATTTTCACATCTCTTTTGAAAGCAAATTTTTCACATCTTTTATTTTTATGTTAAATATATATTTTCATGCACCTATGTATATTATATAGGAAGTTATGTGGTAGGTACTGTACATAAAACACATACATACATAATAGCATTAAAACCACAAAAAAAGAGTAAATAAATATAAAATATAAAATTTTTTGCTTTTCTTTCTCAACCAATAATTCATTTAATTTAGGAAAAAATTAATGAAATATAAGAAAAAAAAATCATATAAAATATAGTAAATAAATTGATACCATTAAAAAAAAACAAGAAAAAATAATATTAAATAAAAAAATATAAAAAAAAATCTATAGCGTAAATTGTTAACCTACATTTTTTCGCTTCTCTATAAATCTATTCGAATATTCCGATTCGCAATCGCAAAATGTTTCAATTCAGAATATTAGGTGAAGTGTGAAATCGCAAAAGAAAAACAACAAGAAAAAAAAAACAAATACGAAAAAAACATTTTTAAAGCGATTTCATTTGTGTCAATTTTTTTTTTCTCATTTTTATTTTTCGCTCACTTTACTATTGTGCTACTGTGATGTTGTGTGGCATTTATCAACATACGGCGTACACAATAATTTTACGTATATATGCATGTATTTAAATAAAAAATTTTATATTTAATGTTAAATTGTTGATTTTATATAACGTATAAAATGTAATAATAATAGACCATAAATTACAAATATTAAAGATATTGTAATTAAATTAACGTTAACCGGTAAATTACTTATACTAACACCACACATACACACCACACAACTTTAATATTTCGCTTACTTAAATAATTACTCATCTCTTTATTAAAGTTCCTGTGTTTCAAATAAGTAATATGATTATGTATTACATCATTTTAATTGTCACATGAATCTAGTATTTGACAAGTCTATAAGGAAATTTCACTGCATTGCAGTTTTTATTTACAATTTTAATTTTATTTAAATTAAATGTATAATTATTTACGTATTTATATGTGTGGTAGTGATTTCAGAAAATACATATTTTAATTAAAAAAATAAATTCGAAACAGATTGATTCAAGCCTCCGATAAATTTGAAACAGATTTGATTCAAATTAAATAATTTTGCAATGAAAGTTTATAATGTCGAGCGTTTTTGTCATTTGGAAATGAAAATGGTTGACATAATTCAAATGGATCATCACATTAATGACTTTTCTATACACTATTTTTAAGTTACGTTGAAATTAAACTGTTATACATAGACTCACTATTGTAAACTGTTATACATAGTACAATTGTGTCATGCCTGAAATGTGTAATGATATTTTTCGTGTGATATATTTTTCACGGGGAAAATTGAGAAGCGAAACTATTAGTTCTAACAACTGAAATTATTCTTAATAATTGCATAATTATAGGCTGTTTAAATATTTGTCAGCTGATAGGGTCGTAATCCTTGTAAAAATATTTAATTTTTTTTCTACATTTCAGTAATTTTATATTTTAATTATATTTTCGTAAATACTTAATAATTTATAAAATAAACACGAATGAATACTTATGCTTTTTTTTTGTATAAAATATTCTTATATAAACCAATACATACTTATAAAAAGCCAAAAGAGAATATAAGAAAAAATGGAAAAAAAATTTTTTTTTTTTATTTTCTCTTTTATTTTATCCTTGAAATTTTATTTATTTTTATTTTTTTTTTTTATACGAACATAAATAGTATTAATCTTCTTATATTATTTAAACAAGAGGAAGAATAAGAAAAAAATAAAATAAAATTTAGAATATTCCACGCCATAAAATATGCAATTTTATTGAAAAAATAATTTCTCTATTTCATAAAATTGCAATAAGCTAATTTATTCATGCATGCTATTTATATTTCTATACAATCTATATAAAATTATATATACATTATAAAAATGGTACGATAATTTTTTTTTATAGCAGACACTCAAGGACAGTACGATATGCAAATTTAAGAAAAATATCCTCCCACTTTAAGATTTGATGTGCAATCAATATTTTATTATACTAGAATTTTACAACAGAAAAATTTTTAGTGTTTAAAATATTTTTTTTTTTTATTTTTAAGAGCAGCTCTTATAGTAAGACTAAAGACAAAAAAAAATAATATTTTCTATTCAAATCAAATATGATTTTGAAAAATTAAATGTCATTATGATTTTTTAAGATAAAAAATGAAAGATTGCAAAAAATTATCTAAAATTATGTTATGTGTTAAGCACGTGGTAGGACATATTAGATCCGTTAAGGTCGCAGTGCGTTATCACCCCGATATACAATCTAAGCGCGTGTTATTTTATAGTATTCAATTTTAAGTTGAAATTCACGTCCGATATTAAAATGAATATCAAAATAATTAAAATTAAATTAATTTTTAAACATTAGAGCTTATATATAATTCGAATTTTTATATTTATCTCCTATTTACTCATGTATATCTATTTTTATTAATTAAGAATTTTTTGAAAATTTAAATTATTGTATTGTGAATTAAGCATAAATTGCAATATTCTATTGAAATTCGGATGTATTTAAATTAAGGGCAAGAGAAATTTAAGAGAAAATTAAAATTTACGAGAATAAGAGAAAAAAAAAACAATAATTTTATTTTAATTCTCTCATTTGGGTCACAAAAAATTCGAACGCTTTTTATTTTATTTAGAATTTTTTTTTAAATTTTGATGAATTTTTAAATATTATCATAAATGTTTCGTTAGCAAACATGTTTTATATTTGAGTGAAAATTATTGATGAATTATATCATTCCACTCTTAAGAGTTGAATATAATTGTTGTGGTATGTAGTATACAGTAATACTGCAATTTTAAAGCCAGATACACAACAAAATGTCGTTGAAAATTTTACCACTTAAAGAATGTTTAAAATTCCTAATGCACTGATTTTGAATCAGTCTTTTTCGTAATTTTAAACATTAAACAGCAACCGCTATTGAAAAATATATAAAATATTTTACTAATTTTCATAAAATATCAAATTTAATTATACAACTAAATTTTAAATTTATTTTTTATTAAATTTTTAATTTGTTGGCTTTCTGTTTTTTTTTTTGTTGTTGTTGTTGTACCTATATTTAAATAAATGGTCATTGAACTTTTATTTTATTATTTAAAAAGCTGAAAAATTAGCGTGTTTTTTTTTTCTATTTAATTTAATGTAAGAAGTATGTTGTATGGCGTTATGTGTATAAAATAATTGTGTTTAATTTTCAATCATGTTTATTCATGTTTTATGCTTTTTATATAATATAATGTAGATACATATATATATACATAGGTATTAGTATAAATTTAAATTGTGTTTTCTTTAATTTTATTAAATTTCTTATATTTTATTAAATATATAATATAGGCTCAAGTGTACGCTCTTATATTGCATTAGTACCTACATTTTTTTACAATATTTATATTTGATTTTTGTATAGGAAAATTTCTATGATTCAGGAAAATTTTTTATTCGCGTGATAATCAGAAATTTTCTTTATTTATTATTAATATTTATTTTTTATTGTAATTGTATTAAGTGAACGGTGTAATTTCAAAATTTAATTATGTAAATTAGAATGAAAGAACTTTTAGATTATGGTCTGCAATTTTACACTACATCGGCATTTTATAGTAACGTTTGTTATACCATTTCTATATACATATAGACATATAGCTGAATAAAAAATTTTAATATAATTAATTGCTGATTCTAAGATTTAATTTAAAATAAAAATTAATTAAATTTTATTATAATATTTTTTTATATTTTTTTTTTAATTTTAGATATAGTCCAGATGGTAAATCGATACCACCTAGATGGGCAAGTGCATTATGTGCTCTTGGTTTATTTATTTATCAAAGTTTAGATGCAATTGATGGTAAACAAGCACGTAGAACAAATTCATCATCACCATTAGGTGAATTATTTGATCATGGATGTGATTCATTATCAACAATTTTTGTTGCATTATCAGCATGTATATCCTGCCAATTAGGGAATTATCCAAACTGGTTATTTTTTCAGGTACAAATTTATATTTCCGTTTAAATAATATTATTTTTATTCTAATGAATTTTAAACATATAAAAATAATTGCTTATATTTATTTTTAGTGCTTTACTGCTATAACATTATTTTATTGTGCTCATTGGCAAACATATGTGTCTGGTACATTAAGATTTGGTAAAATTGATGTTACAGAAGCTCAAATAACAATAATGGGAATTCATATGATATCAGCGATATTTGGTCCTGAAATATGGTTAACAAAGGTAACAAAAATTTTGAAATAAGAAGACAAAAAAAAAAAAAAGAACACAAAACGCAAAAACGTTTATATAAAATCTTCTTTCGTCATCCTATTTAAAATTTATTTTTTCTTCTTTATTTATATTAAAATTTAAAATATCCTTTTATTTTCGCAATTTTCAATTTTGCGATGAAATTATCAATTTTCTGTTTTTTATGTCATCTATTTTTTAATTTATTTCCATTTGTTTCATTCTTTTTCCATTAAAACATAAATTTTTGTTTTTGCTCTTCGTTAATTATTTTTACGATTGGTCATCATTTTACTTTTACTTTATGTATTTAATTTTTTTTTTGATAGTTTTCATTCAAAAAAATTTCATATTTTAATTTTTTTTTCCATTTAATTTTAGTTTTTTTTTTTACATTTTTATCGACGTTGTGTTTTAATTTTCAGCCAAAAAATTTGTATTGGCATTTTTCCAGCAGAAAATAATAATAATACATTTTAATATTTTACAAAATAAAATATGAGTATAGAGAGATAGATGAAAATAGAAAATAATATTTAAGATGACAAAAATAATGGAAAAATAAAAGAAAAGTCAACCTCTATTTTATTCTTCTTTGATTTTTTTTTTTGCTTTAAAGACCTTAAACTCGAAAAATTTTCAAAAAAATTAAAAATAAAATTTTAATAAGTCAATGTAGAAAGAATTAAGTTTCCCTATAATTTAAAAATGAAATCGGAGAAAAAAATATTGTATAAGAATATTTGTTCCATTATGAGTTGAGGCAAATTAATTTTCTCTTGTCTACAGCTTGTTTTTTCTTTACTTTTCTTTAAATTCAAAATGGGTAATAAAATTGTATAAGTAATGAAATTTTTGACTACTTTTTGGCATGTTTGTATTAATATTTTTTAATTAGTTTTATTTTTAAATTATTGAAAATGATGAGCTTTAAAAATGCATTCTTTTGAATTGCGATATTTTGAGGCAAAAATGAGTCAATTTTTTTTTTTGGAATTTATTTGTAGACTAAACATAATCAACCTTATTCTATTAAACGCGTCACGTTTTTGTTTGTATTGTCGCAGTTTTTTTGGTATTCTATTAGAATTGAAATTTTAGGTGACAACAGAAACGAGACTCGAAATTTTTTGAAGTCAAAAAAATTGTTTTTTTATATAAATTAATGACAAACGAAAGCATCAATAACAATAATAGTAAATTAGAGAAAGAGGGATGTCTTCGAGCTTTTTTTTTTGGGTTTTGGATGAAAGTGATGAAGATAAAGAAGAAAAGTAATTAAAATCAGTTTGAAATTGAATCACCGAAGCATGATTATCGATATAATTTCTTTAAAAAATGAGAATTGCAAATTTTCTAAAAAAGTTTTAAAATATTCAAAGTTTACCCTTAAAACCATTTTTAAAGCTCATTCATCATATTGTAAAATTTTCGTTTATAGTTCTTAATTTTTTTTTTAACTATTTAAAAAATACATTTCAAATCAAAAAATTTTTTGCAAATATTATATTTTTATTATAATAAATAATTATAAATCATTTAAATTATTTTTTAAAAATTTAAAAAAAATATGATCAACCCTATCATGAATTCCACTCGTAGAATTCTAGAAATTACGAGTATGAACTATGACGTAGAATTTTTCCACCCGTAAAGATTATCATTTAGCAACTACTAACGTAATTTATGATTACTCTGTTACAAATATTCCAAGCAGAATTTTGGTAATCGAAAATTGATAATATGACATTCGTAATTCCGAATCTTAGGGCTACGAACGGTATTTGTGATAGGGTTGGATATATTTACAAAAAAAAAAAAAATAAATTTTATTTTATTATAATATTTAGAAAAGAAAATTTAGCATTTTACAAAATTTACATACTTAGTTCGAGGACATTAAATTAAATAAAAAAAGTAAATAGAATTGAAAAAAATAATTATATATAATAAAAAAAAATTATATACATATATATATATATATATAATTTATACATGTTTTGTATAATGTATGTATATACATATGTATATCTACAAAACAAAACGGAAAAACCAAAAAAAAAAAAAAAACAAAATACCTACCTACTTTAGATACTTGGTAACTTTGAATTATGGTCAACATTATCTTTAATGACCATTGCTTGTGGGACATGGTCAGGATATTTTTATTGTCAAGTAATATTAGCTGGAGGTGTTGGCAAAAATGGCTCAACTGTTGCAGTAAGTTTTGTACACACATCTTAATGGCAACAAAAATATTTAATCCAAATATATTGAATTCTTAAAAAACAAGAAAAACGACATTCAAGTTTTTTTTTCTTTTTTTTTTTTTTAAACAAAAAACAAAAATGATTTAGAATTCAATACAATCTTTTGGCTAATTAAGTTTTTTAAGGAAATTAAAAATCAACGAAAAAAATTTTTTTTTAAGATCCTTTATTTTTTTTTTTTTTTTTGTTATTTAAATATTTCAAAGGGGTTGTTTTGTTTTTGTACCTTAAGAGAATATTGTTTAAAAAATTGAAATTTTATTGTAGGTGTAATCGATAACAAAAAGCATTGTATCTTTTAATATTGTCAACAAAATGTCAACATTTGTTATGTAACGGATAGTGCAAAAAATGAAATATCAAATGACTGTCATATTGTTAAATATTTTTTTTTGACATTTTTGTCATAACAAAAAAAATTTAACAGCTTCATTTCGTTTTCCGTTTAAAATGGAAAATTTTGAAGAAAATAAATTAATTTTATTTATTGAAGTACAAATATTCAAATCAAAAATAATTTTTTCCTTAAGCAATATTGTCAGCCGGTTATATGGAAAATTTTTCGTTGATTGCCCGTGTCAGATGTCATTGTTATCGACCGGCATTTGAAATTATCGACTACGCCTTATTTTTATTTTATATACATATAATTTAAAAACAAAAAATATTATATAAAAATAAAATATATGATTTCAATTTGAAAAATTAATTCTTCTTATGTTTTTTTTTTTTGTTATTTAATTGATAAATTAATAAAAATTAATTAACTATAACAAAAAAAAAAAAAAATGTATAAATTTTGTAAGAAAAAAAAAGTGAAAAAATTGAAGGAATGCCTGCTGCCTGCTCTGTTTATTTATTTTATGTTATTATTTTACTTTTTAATTCAATAATATTCCAGTTAATTCCAGTTGTTTTTTTTTTGTTGTATGTATGTATTATATATAAATTATATATATTTAATATATGTACATTTAATATATTTATATAAATATTTTTTGAATGATATTTAATATTAATAATAATAATTTTTTTTTTGAAATTGTTTTGAAAATCTTTAAAAGAAATAATACTTTTTTTTTTTTTTAAAAAATTTGCATTTAATAATGTTGTACTTAAGTTGGATATTTCATTAAAATCTGAGTACTTTTCATAGTTGTCAACAATTTGACATTTGTCAAAAGTAACATTTCATAATGGTTTTGATGCGCGTCAATCATGATTTTATAGTCTATTCCAAACGCAAAAATTTCAAATAGCGCTTTTCGTGACTGTAAAAAAATTCAATGACAAAAATCATGAACGAAATTATGACAGATGAACGTTAATTTGTTGACAACTATGAAAAATAGTCCGGTTTTAAAGTCAATTTATTTTAAAATTGAAAATTTATATAAAAAGAATAATGTTTTTAATTTAGTTTATGTAAAATTTTAAATTAATATTTACACAATATATGCAATTTTGTAATTTTGTTATAATTATCTCCCGAGTTAATTTCTGTTATACCGATTCTGTTATAATTACCTCCCGAGTTAAAATTCTTTTTTAGTTTTCCAATTTTTAATTAATTTTATTAAAAATTAATTATAGAAATTTTCAATTCAACTTAAAACTTAAGAACACCATTTATATAACCAAAATATTTCAATAATAACAATATAAAAATGATCAATATTTTTTAATAGATTTCCGAAAGAATTTTTAAAAAATGAAAATTTAATTTTTTTTGTCCCTATCTCCAAATTTTGTTTTTCGAATTTGTAATTGGGTGAGAGATTGTGTAATCTTCTGTATATTTATAAATATATATATAAAATATAAATAGAATTAAATTTAAAAAAAAAAATGCATGTTTCAAATTAGTATTTCTATTTTAATATAATTTATTTAACACATTTTTTTAGAGCATGTTATACGTTTTTTTTATATTATGCATATAAAAAAGAAATAATCTTGCAATAATTATTCTTCATAACTTTCTTCTTTTTTAAAATTATATTTAATAATTTATTTTTTCAAAAATTAAAAATTTAATTAGATGTAAAATAAATTTCTTTTGTACTTGTAAAACTATGTAAAATTGTAATTAAAATATTTATTTTAGATTTAAATAGTTTGTTTTTTTTTTTTATAAAAATGTAAATTAGATTTAAGTAAGAAAAAAATGTTTTTTTAACTTTATTTTTTTTGTTATAAATAGTATTATAAATTAATTGAAAACTGTTATACACTGTTATACATTAACTGAAAACTGTTATACATTAACAAAAACTGTATTGTTGCCAACTATTGGGGATTATTTAATATTAAATATGAATTATTTATTGTTATATTAATAAAATATTACAAAAATAGGTCTGTAGTAGCAACAATAAATCAGTAATTATAAATGAAAGCTATTAATAACATTAATACAATATAATATGTAGGCAAAATCAATAAATTTTCATTCATTAGGACAATATAGAATGTTGTTTATTATACATAAAAGTATTGTCATTTATAGATGTTATTTTAGTAAGAAATTTAAGATTATTTATAAATATTTCTGTAATGTTTTTCTTGTTAGAGAATACAAAGAACAGATAACATAAATAATTAATTTTAATTGATTTCGTAATTCTTTTTAAAATCTCAATTTGATCAGGAAAACATTACTTTTTCCTAACATATTTTTCTATAAATTTTTTTATATGTATTTCAGTTTTGAAAACAGATTTGCATAAATATAATAATTTTTAATTGGAAGCAGATTAATATAATGGAATCAAATTGTTAAAGCTCAAAATTAAAAATTTTAATATTGAATTTTTATAGTAGCTTTATTCCGTTTTATATTAATAAAATTAATACTAATATTATAAAAAATAATTTTATAACTTATTGAAATAATTAGATTTCATTCTTACAATGAATTTCCTAAATTTTTTTTTAGTTTAACTTCCTCTTTTTTTTGTTTCTTTAACTTTATGTTTTAAGATTTTGTTTTTTTTTTTTCTATATAATTTTTTTAACAGATTCCATATACAGATTATGATTGCATATTTATTACTAATTCTATATTCTGCTCTGGATTTTTGAGAAATTTATTTACATTTTTAAAAATGTTTTCCACTGGTGGAAGTGGAAAAAATGGATCAACTGTTGCTGTAAGAATTAAGACCAATTACAAAAATAAAAATAAAAAATTATTACAAAGAAAAATCTATATATAATAATATAAAGAAAAATATTAGAAAAATTTTTGTAAATAAAAAATTTATAATTGTAAAAGATAACTGTTATACTGTTATGTTTTTTTTTTTCAATTCGAAAAAAAAAGAATGAGTTATTTTACAAGTGATAAATTAAAGAAACTTAATTTGTATAAAACAATTAGATATCTACAACGACAACTTCAAAAATTGCTATTTTGTAATATTTTCGGTTTAGAAATTCTAATTTTTATTCTAAAAATTAATAATTGTATAATAAGTTGGCAATATGCTGGTAAAACCAAAAGAAAAATGATAATTTTCTCAATAAAAATATTTTTTGTATGAATATATTAGGTCTTTTCAAGAATGCGATATATCCGCGGTATATAGTGATAACTGAGCTATATTTGAGTTCATAAACAAATGTTGCTAACATTAATTTGTTTTTCGTTCAACGGCTGTCAAAAATGGTTTCCATTGTGAATTGTAATTTTATATGGAAAAAAAATCGGTACCATCATTCGCTCATTTTTTCTCTCACTCATTATTCCTTTCGTTCACTTTTTTGTGATATAGTGGCCATTGGAAACAATGAGAGAAATTGTATTTAATAAAATTTCAAGAATATTTTGTTTTCCTACACATTAAATTTCTTTAATTTATCGTTTGACCAAAAATTATTGAAAATATTATAAAAAATACTTAAATAATTTCGAACTATAATTTATGTATAAAACAAAAATATTTTAAATTCTTGAATTTACTATTTATTTATGTGTACAAAATCAAAATTTTAAGACATTAATTTGTATATATATATATAAATAAATTACATTCATATTGTGTTTATACATAAATATAGTTAAGTAAACTCATTCAACTCATTCAAAAAGAACAAAATTATTTTTTTTTATGCGTAGTGTAAATTTAATAATTATTTTTTTTTTTTTGCTTGAATTAAAAAACGAATTGTAATACTAAATATTGTAAACATATTTTTTTAAATACTAAAAATATTGCATATTTTTATATGTATATATATACTATTATATATATACATATATTATGTGTATTATAATTGCTATTTTACTAATTTATTTAAATTTTTCTTTTTCATTTTATAATTAAAATATTGTTATTACTAGACGTTTTAAGTAGATATTCGACAGGAAATTATTATTTCATTTAATTAAAATTATAACTCTTTATGTTCCAAAGAATGCGGCAGTGCAGTTTCAAAATTAAATTTAGTTAAAGCTGCCAAGCTGAATTCGAAGGGGTCTAAAATTGGTCACTTAGACGACTTAGGACCCTTCTGGTGAAGCTGAAATGTAATAATTTTTTTTTTGTAGTGGAAAACTGTATTGCCGCATTTTTTCAACTGAATTTCAACTTAAAGCCTAGGCGATAATTTTCATAATCAGAAATTAAGAAAATCTTGAATAAATCAATTGAAATCATAAAATTATCACGGGTGATAAAGTCAACTATTTATATAAATTAAAATGCATAATTTATTATAATTTAAAAAAAGTCATTATATTATTTTAGGAGAAAAATTATTAGTTAATTAATTTAATAACAAACAAAATCATTATAATTATTAATCTAGTCTAATTTATCTAAGACAACTAATTATCATAAGGGTTTAATTAAGCCTAAAATATCATTTTGCATGCTTATTTTTTTTTTATTATTGCTTCAAATGCATGAGCAAAATTTTTTGCTAAATTAATTCTAATTTAATTGATCACAATATAAATTTTCTTTAGAGTTTTTTTTTGTTGTATTGATAAAAGGTTAAATTTAGTTTTTAAATTTATAAAATTTTTAATGCCCCTTTAGTTGTTAAGAGATTTCTAGCCAACAAAAAATATATGAGAGATTATTAACAAGATTAAGTGATTATTCAAAAAATATGTAAAAAATTTAAGAAAATTTAAAGAATAATTTGATATAATCGAATAATAGTTCTTATGAGTTTATTTAATGATTTTTTTTTAATTTTCTAATAATAATTTTAAGAAAACTTATATATATAAATTTTTTATGTAAATATTACAAGAGAGGACAGTTTTGCTGATTAAATTAGAAAACTGAATATGAAAAGGTGAAAACAGAACATAGGTGATTCTCCTCAGCGCAACGTCACATTTGGCGTTCCGCTGTTGTTTTATATTAACAACGGAAATCGTCATTCGTTGCCGTTTACCGTTTTATTTCTGGTTTTACAGTAAATCGAAAATCAAAATTATAAATTCTAAATATAATTGAAATTATCCTGGAATTTTCGAAACTATTTTCAAATTTTATATTATATATAAAAGCATTGCTCATTTCTGTCAAAAACTTACACCAAACAACATTATTTTTATTAAATAAATTTCATATTTCATTATTCACTTATGATATAGGCCAATACATTCATACATATACATATGTATTATATTTCAGGAATATTGTTTGTATATATATATATATATGTATATATTGTAATTTCAATTTTATAATGAGAGTTTTAAAATTTTAATACAATATAATATGAAAAAAATATCAATTTTAATTAATTTTCGTTCCTGTTTTAATTTTTGATCTGTTAATTTTTGATTTTCTGTTATCTTTTTTTTATAATTTATGATGTTTATGTAAGGTACTGTTTACATATTCATACGAAATGCTCGATTAATCTAAATCTGGTGAAAGTCGTATGTGAAAACACTATTTGACAGCACATATTACGGAATTACTATAATCCCATTATATTTTCTGTCAAATTTTAAAAGTAAAATTGCAAACAATTGATTTTTTTTTTTCGAAATGTTTTAAATAGCAATCAGCTGATTTTTATTTTGATTATATTTTTTTTAGAAAAATTATTAAATTTTGACATAAAGTCTGAACGCCGTCCGTCTAAATTTCATAATTTGAATTTGAAATGTAGGTAAACAGGCATCAGACTTTATCGTAAATTTAATCTTAGAAGTGTTGACTTCAAAATTGAAGGGAAAAATGATATTGCTACATAATTCCCCAATTACAGCTCATGTATTAATACAGTATTACTGCAATTTTAAAGTCATGGTAATTATTGTATATATAAACGGCAACTACATATTTATATTTGATATTTCGATTACAATGAGAGTTATTTGAATACTAAAGAAAATGATACGGTACAATAGACTAAAATTCTCTCCAATAAATTGAAATTGAGTGCTTTTCTAAACGATCTCGTTAAATCAAAAGAAATTGAACGAGTGAAATTTTTAAAACTTCAAATTTTTACTATTGTTTAAAATAAAAATATTTTATATTAATTTAGGCAATCTCTTAAGGATTTTTATTTTAATTAAGAAACTAATACCATAAATTATAGTTCTCTCTGTAAAATAGAGAAAATAATGTGAAATCATTTAAAACTACAAACTACAAAAACTACAAAAATTCTAAGCTACGAAAATTTTTTTTTAATATTTTAATTTTTCTCATAATTTCTCATTTATAATATTATGTAGAAATCATTAATTAATTTTGAGTTTTTTCTTTTATAATTTCTCTCATAATGTTTCTTTCAAAATCCATTTCTCAAACAAGTAAGAGAAATATCTGTTTACCTCAAAAATATAATTATAAAAATTTTCATTACAATTCCCAAAAAAAAAAAAAATCTTTTTTCTATTTTATTTAATGAATTTCATAATACCAACAAAAAAAAATATTTATTGAAATTCTTATTAATCAATAAAAATTCCAAAAATATATAAAAAAAACAAAAATAAAAAATACCAATTATTACAAAATCAAACTATTTGTAGCTGCCTTACTTTGGAAATTATGAGCTTAGACATGTTCCAATTTACATTGCATTAGCCGTAGATTCACTATTAAGTTATCGTTATTCAATTGTTATTATGACCGGAGGATGTGGAAAAAATGGATCAACGATTGCTGTAAGAATTAAAAAATAAAAAAAGCAAAATTAAAATTTAGAAAAGCTACGATATTTATTTTAATAATATAGAAAAAAAAAAAATTTACACTTAATTTAATTAAAAATTTTTGGTTTTGTCGCTTTTAAGTTGTTTTTTTGGATTACATTTTATTTGATTAAGAAATTTTGCAAATTTTTTTTTTTTAAATTTCTTTTTTTAGGAATTTTAATAATTAGCAGTATTTTTTTTTTAAATTATTTTACATTTAAAATTGCAATCATAGGATCATTTTCAACCAAATTTTATTTCAATTCAATATATGGGAAGAATTTTTGATATTCAATCAGTTGTGGGTTGTTTGTCATTAAAATCACAATAATTTTATGATCTTTTTTCATTAATGTTTAATTTTGAATTACACTTTTAATTTGTTATTTGTTTTTTTAATATTTTTAGCTTTTGTTATAATGTGTTAGAGATGGTCTAAACTTGTCTAAAGGATATTAATTTTATGGTTAAATGTTATTCTTTTTTTTTGGAAGTTTTGTATTATTTTTGGGAAAAAAATTTTTAATCCCATTTTATAATTTTTAAACGTTATGATTTCCTATAACTTTTTTTTTGAAAGATCAAATACAAAGCTTCAATTTATTTATTCGGAAAAGGTCCAATTTGTGTGTTGAACAAACTTTGCGTTCCAATATTGCACAAATATTTGTATTTAAAAATTGCACAAATATTTTTCTATATTCGATTAAGCTCAGAAACATTAAATATTCAGGAGATGAAGCTGTCCTTAGACTTTTGTCCAAAGGTAAAAAACATAGTGAGGTTTTATGTTGCGGATTTGCTTGAAAGTTAAATTTGAGGCAGTAGAGTTGGGATGTATGCATCTAGACCGTGGAACCGTGATCTTCAGCACAGATGGAACGAACACCACTGAAGAAGCCGACTTAAATGAATATAAGCATAAAATATTACAAAAGAGCATAAAATATTACAAAAGCACTCGAGATTATAGAATGAGCATAAAATATTACAAAAGCACTCGAACACTATCCACTACTATTTCAGGCTGAAACATACGCTATTGAATTGTGTGCTTTGAAATGTATGATAAGGAGCCTCGGATGATACTAAGGCCCACTCTTCTGATGTAATGGGATCCAAACTGCAAAGAGATTGTGCCGGGTTGCCGGGGTATTATGCCATAGACGGAAATAAGAGAGCTGAGGGTCTCGCCCAAAAAGCAACGACAACTCCTTTTATTGGCCCAGAGACATGCTTTGGAGTGACAAAGACAACGGTCCCGCGTCCTTAATGTATGGGAGAAACGGGTCAGGGTCGGTCATTGGAATAATTGCGCAAGCCTATCTCACTCCAAAAAATTCGGGATACACAAATTTTTTAGAATATATAAATTTTTTTTAATTTTTTTTGTAAGTCAAATTAAAAGTAACCTAAAAGTTAAAAATGTCAGAATCAAAAAGTGTTCTCTTTTCTCATTTCGCTTCCACTTGAATTTTCAAAATGCAATCGTTATGAGTAAATTTGTGAACTTTTATAGACCTTTCTTCATAATTAGTATTATTATTTATTAAAAATTTTTTAATTAAAAAAATTAAGTTTAGTAATTTTTTTTTTTATATTTATGTAATTTAATAAAGTTAATATTTAGGTATAAAAAAAATATTCATGCAAATTCCATTCACATATATATACCATTTCAATATTTTAAGTTGTCACCGTTGGAGGGAGGAGTAATGTAACGTAAACCCTTTCGGTCATTATAAATTTATCATATTATTATTATACATTATTATTATTTTATATTTTTTATTTTTTTTGGATTTGTTAAATTTTTCTATTTCATATAGTCATAAGAATTTCGAATTATCATCATATTTTTGTTACCATACCAGTTTTTAAAATGCAATGAATTTAAAAAACAAAAATTAAACATTAAAATATTTTATTTTCTAATTAGGGCAATAATATTTTATTTTTAATGCAAAATATTGTAAATTATTATTTTAATATAATAGGATGAAAAAAAAAAATAATGCACAAAGCACATTTTATAAATAAAAAATTTTAAATTTTTCAAATGCATTGTAGTATTAAAAAATAAATTTTTTAATTTTAGCATAAATTTAGGGGCACTTTTAATATTGATATTATCCTGTTTTTGTTCTTAATGTAAGATCACAAGTTATTTTGCAAAAGGGCGAATATTTAGCAAAAATATGTATATTTATTAAATTTAATTATTAAAAGTTTATATTTATTTTAGTTTTAGCGTTGTGTATAATAATTTATAGTAATGTACATAAGACAATGTTTGTAATAACACAAACGAGCGGAACGCTATTCTAAATTAAAATTTATTACTCACTAGCGCCGCTCAAAAAAAGTAGTTCGCTTGGGTAATTACAAAAATTGTGTTCTGTATATCACTATAATCTATATTCACAATGGTTTTAGTAAAATTTAAGATGAATTTCATATTAAAAATTTTGTTTAAGATTATTGGAAAACCCAAATAATAATGGTGTATGAATTTTATTTTTATTCGTTTTTTTTTTTTGTATTTATTTAATTTAATTGGTTTTTTAATATTATTTTATTGTGTATGCTTGTGAATATTTGTTATTTTGTTTGCCTAACATTTTTATAATTAATAATTATCTTAATTATTATTAATATTTAATTTATATGTATTTATGTATATTATTGTTTGTTTGTATGTAACAACAATATATGTACATGTAATTAATTATGTACATATAATTTTTTTTTTTAATTAGAAGCCAAAAGAAGTATTTTTAAGTTAAAAAAATATTGATTTATGGGTAAGGAAAAAAAAAAATTTATGCATATAAAAAACTTTATTTTTGCTAAATTTTTGTGTAGCTATCGGAAAATGAGACAAAATTTCAATTTAGAACTCGTCAATTAATTTATTAATGAATTTAAAGCTTTGAAACCAATTCGGCATTGGAAGTTGTTTAACGGTATTGTAAATTGAAATTATCGGTCATTAAAAATCGGTGTAATTTTTTTTTTTGTTTTTCTCTCCATAAATCAATAATTTTTTTTTTAATAAAACGTTTCATTTGGCAAATTTCACATTTTATATTACTAGGCCCTTTTCATAAATGCAGTATATCGCAATACATAGGAGAAAACTGCACTATATTTGTGTTTATAAACAAAATAATGTTACCAACGTAAGTTGTTCATAAACATTGCTAATTTTTCGCAATATAACGAAGTTAGTATGAGTAGCGCAGTTAAATAATATGAACCTTTTTTGATTTTATAGTTAAATAATTAAAAATATATATTGCATATTCATCATGGTATGTTTTTGCAGTATTCGCAATTATTGTTTTGCAGTATTGCGTTTATGAAAATAACTGTTAAAATAAATGATATGTGAAATTTGCTTTCATATATTTATTAATCATAAATATTACACAATTAATTTTACATAAATATTTTCAATACAAAATTTAAAATAAATTAAAAAATTTCCAACAAAAAAAAAATATGAACAAAATATTAATAAAATAATATGATTAAAAATATTTATGTAAAAAATGAATTTTTTTAAAATTTAACAATAAAAAATTCCAAATTTTATTAATATAAACCTTTTATTTCCTTTAAAAACCAAAACAAAAATTTAGGGTACAAGTGTTCTATCACCAGTTATTCCATTGGCTTTAGTTGTTGTTCCAGCTTTTATAATTGCACAAAAATCAACTGAAGATATATTTGGGCAACATCCATCACTTTACATAATGGCATTTGGTATGGTTGCTGCAAAAGTTACAAATAAACTTGTTGTAAGTAAAAAAAAAAAATTACAAATAAAAATTTAATATATTTTTTTTCATTAAATTTAATTCATTTATTTTAATTTTGGATTTTAGATTGCTCATATGACACGTAGTGAAATGGAATATATGGATTGGAGTATGCTCGGTCCACTTCTATTATTTTTAAATCAATATTTCAATTCAGTTTTACCAGAATTTTGGCTATTAGTATTTGCTTTAATATGGGGTATAATAAATTTAATGAAATATTGCCAACAGGTACGATATTTAAAAAAAAAAAAACCAAATTTAAAATAAATAAAATATTTATATTAAATAATTTTTTTTATGTTCTTTTAGGTTTGCCTAGAAATTTGTGATCATTTGCATATAAAATTATTTAAAATTCCTTATCCACCGCGTCGACCATCAATGACAACAACTGGTACAAATGCACCACATTTAAGTAGTTTAACTGGTATAAATACATCATCATTTATGTCTGGTGGTGGTGGTAGTGGTGGTAGTGGTAGTAGTAGCAGTTCTATTCCAAGTACATCATCTCATGATAAAAATGGTAGTACACATCAAGCCCATCGAAAACAATTAAGGAATAGTAAAAGACAACAACAGCAGCAACAATCATCGCATTAATTTAGTTTTCAATAATTAAAATATTAATAAATTTTTTTTTTTAATTTTCTATTAGTAACTATTTTTTTCTAGTTTTTTTTTTTTGATTAATTTAAGAACAGTATTTTAATAAGTGAATTTATTGATCGATGTTAATTAACATAAAATAAAACAATTTAATAAACAAGAAAACTTAAATTAAAAAAATTAAAATTATGTAAGGCAAAATTTAAAATTATGTAAGACAGAAAGTTGTTCTTAAAATTTTTTGTTTTCTTTTGTTCTTAGAAATTTTACTTATATTATGCATAATTTTGTGTATTTGCATTTTTAAAATGCATATTATTAAAATAAAAACAATTGATTTTGAAATTTGAATAGAATATTTAAAAAAAAAAAATAATAAAAATCAATTAAAACACATCGGACGATTCAGTAAAATAATTAGAAAATTACAAAATAAAACAAAATATGCAAAAAATATTTATGTATGTAAATGGATAGCATAATTATGTTTAAAAAAATGGTATATTTTTAATTAAGTGAAATGAAATATAGATAAAAAATATCTAAGTATTTATAACAGATTTTTTTTTTGTTTTTAAATAAAGAATTGTCCATTTATTCTGATTTTTCTGAATCAAAATTATTACTGAATTTGTTTTTTTTTTTAAATTAATAACAAAATATTAAAATAATTGGAGCTTATATTTTATTCTTAATTCTTAATTTTTTTAGATAAATTAGATTCTTAAGGGCATTTCCAATAATTTAGTGTTAAGATTCTTTACTACAAAAGAAGCACGTTCGTAATCGTTCAAAATCGTACCACGCTTAAAGTTCTTTTAAAAAATATTTTAAATTTGAAAAAAAAAACACATAGAAAAATGTAAGATATTAAAAATCTGCAAAAGTAAACTAGTTAATCCGAAAAAAAGATTTTTAAGATTTAAGTTAGAACTTTAAGTGCATATCTGAATTATTGAAAATCTCCTTATTATTCTATACATTTTCAATAATAAATAAAATGTAATTTTCAAACTAATTTATATTGTATATTAACTGCATTTGAATTGTATTAATTTCAATAATTTTAACATATTGTAAGTATTTAAAAATTTCATAAAAGAATGATTTTAAATTTCTAAAATTTATAATTTTATAATTAGAAAAAATCAAATTAATAGGATTTTGTAATTTTTGAAATTTAATTTTTCATTCGGTTAGGATACATTTAGGACAGAACAAATGTAATTGTACTTTAATAGATGGATTTGAGAGTTAGAATTAATATAAATTTTAGAACACAAAAACAATAATTCTAAAGAAGACACTCAATATTTTTGTAAATGACAAAAAAAATTGCAAAAAGGAGAACTTATGATAGTTCTTATCTAGGCCGACGATATAAATTATATTAAATTTTGAATATTTTATTTTAACGAGTCTTAAGAATTCAATTAAATTTCAAAACAAAAATTAAAACCTTATAAGCTCCAAAACAATTAATTTTTAATATAAATTTCTAATAATTAAAACATACTTAACACTTATTTGTACGGTAACTTTGGTGCAAGAAAGAATAAATTCAGAATTCACGAATTCAAAATTGTGCGTGCTTATTATCAAAAGCTTATCTTGTTATTATTTTTCTTATTTTCATATTGTTTCAAAGGAAGAGAACAGGAATTTTTTTTTTTTTTACAAAATCAAACTATAGGATTTAAAAAAAAAATATTAATTCATTTGTGGTAAAATGTTTTTATGTATTTTTCTGTAGTAGTGAACCACCAATAAATTTTAGAGTAGAGATTATAAATATGTGAAAAAACAATGTAATACAATTCTTTGTAAATTTTTGTGAATATTTTATTTTTTAATAATATAAAATTAATAATTCAATTGTTAATTATTTTATCTTAAATGATCTTTTCATTTAATATTTTCCTTTTTATTTTTTTTTTTTTGGAAAGATTAAGAAATTGAATTTAAAATTTAAATAATGTGAGGAATAAAAATATTGAAATTAAAAAAAGAAGACATTCAAAAAAAAACAAAATTTATGAAAATTATTATGTAAAAAAAAAAATGATAAATATTATTATTGTAATATTTCAATTAATTAATTATTTAATTAATTAATAAAAAGATGGAACTATTTATGGACGTTTTTATGGAAACCTAATTGTTTTATTAGTTTAATATTTTTGGTCATTTATTTTATAAGACATAACAAAGCACATATCTACAAAAAAGTTAAGAAATAAAAAAAGGAATTTCCAATGAAAATTATGTACAGTTATCGGTCTATTTAACTAGGACCATTATGGAAAAAGAACAGGGACCTTTGAAAAGCCTGAAACGGTGATATTTAAATAGGGTAAATTTACTAAATTAGTAGACAATACTAGTAATGATTAATGCTTAGCGTTGAAATACTTTTTTCAAAAAGTTGGACTTGAATATTCTAATATTCTTTTCTTTTAATTAAAGTTTCTAATTTTGAATGTGAAATTAAATATTATTTTACTAAAAGTTATTATTTTAAGAATGATTTTATGAAAAAAAATTTATTAAAATTATTAAAATAGAATAAATAAAAATTAAATTATTTAACGGCCTTACCATAATCTATGAAGCGAATGACACTTTTAGCCAATATAAATTGTTTGGTACTATGATATTATTGATTGGCAAATTCGTCAAAATTTTATGCGAATGAGTTGTCAAAAGTATTAAATGAAAATTGTGTGGGACAGAAAATTTTGCGTTGATTTTAGCGAATTTGGAATTAAATAATATATTTCCTTTTTTTCTATTTTAATATCAGGTAATTTGCTTTAATCAAGTATTAAGCATATCGACAAAAAGTACAATAAATATTATCATAATCGCAAACAAGATCAGTTAACAAGCATCATCATTTACAAGCAAGGTTCGTTATAATACCGAAAGTTATCGTGTATTGCATTGTTATCGTGATGATGTAAGGCAAAAAGAAAAATTTACGAAAGGTGAGTTTGTGAAATTTTTACAAATTATTATAAAAAAATATTGATTGTCCAAAAAGCTATCCAAATTTAATTAAACAAAACATACATATATTAAAATTAGCGATGAAAATCTGTAATTTTTTTTTGGTCTAAATATTTACACTAATTTCATTCATTAAATGTAAGAAATACGACATATTAACATACTTATAATGTTGCTTTAATTTCAATATAGATGACGCTCAAAATTTAACATTGACGCATTTCCTTAACAACTTGTTATACACACACACTCTCATTTGTATTTAATATTTTATTAAATTTTTTGACATCGTTTTGTCATTGTCATTTAAGTGTTGCCAGTATCAAATTTAAAAAAAAAAACAATTATTATTGTTGCTTTTTTTTCTTTTTTTTTTGTATGTTTTTTTTGTATTTCTATTTTTCTGACATTTATAAGAAGAATTTGACTTGCCGTGTATTTAATCATTCTAAGTTTGACATTCAAACATATCGCATCGTAAATATTTGTAAAAATAAAGAGTTGTACGCGGATTTTTTTTTTAAAACAAAAAAAAAATAAATATAAAAGTATGTGTATATAAATAAATAGAAACTCTTTAATAAATAATAGCATTTTTTAAATTATTTAATAAAAGAAAAAATAAAGTGAAGATAGTCAAATTATTGAGATTTGAAATTTAATATTAAAAAATTGTCAGCATTTTAATAATAATTTTTCATACATACATACATACTTCTGTACATTTTTATTGAAAATAGATAAAATAGTAATAAATCAATTGGTGTAATATAAAATTTTTGTTTTTACAAATTATATACATATATATCAAATTAATAGAAAAGTGATATATATATATATATATATATATATATATATATTTATAAATATATTCAGTTTTTTGTATATGTTTGAGAAACCAAAAAATAACAAAGATCAAAAGTGCCGAAAATTTTGTGTTTTTTTTTTAATCTTGTATTTTTATTGGTATTTTGTGGCATATACGTAAAATATTTTTAATATTATATTTTGGTATATAGTAAATTTTAAATAATAAAGTTAATAATAATCAAAAAAATAAAAAAATTGTGCACCAGAGAAAGAAAAAAATTAGAAAGTGAAATTTTTAAAATATTTTTTTTTGTTTGTTTTCCAAATTATTCCAAATAATTAATAATCAGTACTAAAATACTTAAAAATACAACAACAAATAATCAGTCTATTTCTTAAATAATTTACTATAAACAAATAAATGTCAATCAAATTATATGGTAGCTGGTATCATCTACCAATCTACTTAAATCTTGTCTATTGTAAAATTGAAAACAATACTACATAATCTTTGTTTTTAGGTAATTTACCTAATGGTAAAAAGTTTTAAAATATTTGTTTTCATTATTAAATTCCATATAAAGTATTGTGGGGGTAGTAGTGCAGTTGCACTCAAATTTCAATTACAAAATTACATACTTGAATTCTTTCATTTCTTATACATTTAATTGTTTCCAATTTAAATAATTAGCTTACTTACCCAATTCTTTAGAAAAATTTTCTCCATTATTTTATGACAATTCATATTCTTATTTTAATAGAAAATTCATTTGAAAATAATAAATATTACCCATTGATAATTGTTTACCTTATTAATATTATAATTTAATATACTTATTGCAGATATAAATAATTATTTGTATAATCTTGATAGTCATAGACTATAATATATTCATAATAGCTATCAAAAATATTTACAAAAACATAAGATTTACAAATATAGAAAGGCAAAATAAATATATTAATAATATACTCGTAATTATAAATATTAAGTAATTTTAAAAGAAGAATTTAAACAAAAAGCAAAAAAGAATTTATTTTCAAACAATTTAAATGAATTAATGCAATATAAATTGAGTTTTTATTAACGAGATGGCTGTACGCCCTCTTAAAATTATTATAAATGGAATTTTAAAACAACTACGATGGATTTTCTTAATATACATAATAAATTTTGTATATAAAGGTAAGTTTATTTATTATTTTAAAAATTTTAAGCATTTTTCATTAAATATTGGTTTTAATTTCTTTCTAGAATAAAAAATATTTCTTTAATTACAAATGTCTAATTCTGAATCTTATAGCATATATCCTTACCTACGAGTACTTGGAATAATTCAAGAAAATAAATGAATAAAATAATTTTGTGTCTAAAATTTCTTATATATACATATGTCATATATCTACATTAGCCGCCTACCCACAATAAAATGTACTTACTACATAGATTCCAACAAGTTGTGATTTTTCTTTTCCTATACTTATAAATGTCAAAAAATTGTCTAAGTTTTTATATTTTATATAAAAAAAAAATTTAATCCTTATCTAAAGAAAATGTTTTCATATACATTATGTATTTAGCTATTCCATATATGTATGATTACATACAAGTATATGTGTGAAAAATATAAATTTAATCAATCATTGACAGAACAAGATAAAGAAAAATTAATTAATTTTATTTGAAAAATTTAAAATTTCCCCTATAAATAGCTGATATAGTACGTCTCTAATTCTTTGTTAAAATTTATGAATATTATTTTAGATTCTAATATCAAGTATTCTCTAATACCTCTATATCTCTTATTAATGGATGATGGACGGGCATGGCAATC